AACTCAGTGACCAGCTCAAGACGGAGTGAGGAACATTTCACTTCAGTCTCGGAGGCCCAGCTGCCTCTGAGGCAAGCATAGTCCTGGACCAACCCAGCCTGCCTGGTCCAAGTCCCAGTTGTGCTTCTTACTAGTTTTGTGGCAGGTCTTCAAAAAGCTCATGGAAAATGTGTATTATCAAAAAAAAAAAAAAAAAAAAAAAAAAAAAAAAGAAAGAAAGAAAAAGAAAAAGAAAAAATAAAGTCTTGGACCAGGCAGCGTGAAAAACATGCCACAGGGAACCAGCAGTTAGCGTAATGGCTATGTCGCTGGACTCCCACGTAGTCAACCGCTGTTTACGTCCCGGACCCGGTGGCTTAAAACTCACGCCGGGCGCGTGTGCGTGCGTGCCCAAGATCCCGAGAGGAGAATGGAGGAGAAGGGATTGCGGTGTGACCATCCCCCCGGGGGGGTGATTTCTCACTTTCTGTCTCTATGTCTCTCTCTGTCTTTCTGGTCAGCGCACGTGCCCTATAGAGGAGATCTCTCCAAGAAAAAAAAGAAAAAGAAAATCATGCCACAATCCATGTGTGTGCATACCCAAAATCCCAAGAGGAGAAGGGAGAAGGGGTGGTCATTCCCATTAAAAGTGCTTTCTCATTCTCTCTCTCCCTCTCTCTCTCTCTGGTAAGTACATGCACCCTATAGCAAATTTAAAAATAAAATAAAAAAACCCCCCTCAAAAAAAAAAAAAAAACAACTAAGCTTGGCTTTTATTTTTTGCACCAAGTTAAACTCTTTAATTTCATGTTTCCATATTATTAAAAATAAGACTTACTTATTTGGGGCCAGCAGGTGGCATAGTGGTTAAGGTGCTGGACTACCACATGGCTGACCGCGGTTAGAGTCCCAGACCCAATGGCTTGAAAATCATGATGGACACATGTACGTGGCTGCCTAAAATCCCAAGAGGAGATTCTAGTGTGCATGGCCATCCCCCTTGGGGAGGGGGTGACTTCTCATTTTCCCTCTCTCTGTCTCTCTCTCTCTTTTTCTTCCTGAGGAGTGTACATCCCCTATGACAAAAATGAAAACAAAACCCTTTCTCTCTCTCTCTCTCTCTCTCTCTCTCCCTGGAGAGTGCATGCAACTAAAAAAATATTTAATCTTACTGATTATGATCATTTAATTTGCTATAGGGCACGTGCGCTCACCAGAGAGAGACAAAGAGAGACAGAGAGAGAGCTAGCAGCTTTGGGACTTGAATTGCAGTCAGCCATGTCCAGCAACTTAACCACCACACCACCTGCTGGTCCCCCCACGAACTTTTCAAAGTCCCCTCATGTGGCCATGGCCAAGTACTTAATCTGTTTGTGCTTCAGTTTCCTCTTCTGAAAACAGGGATGCTCATGAGGCATTCCTCACAGGGTTGTTGTGAGGATGAAATGAGTTAATATTTGCAAAGCACTTAAGAAAAGCCCCTAGGAGCTCAATATAGAAGAGGGATATTAATTTAATATTAAACACCAAGTTATGTTAGTTGCTATTATTATCATGACACATCATAAAAAAGTGATGAGCAGCTACTTCAGCTATGCTATGTCATGTGGTGACATTTATTGGCCCTGATTAAGCTACTGTGCTCAGCATTTAAGCTGGATCATCTCATTGAATCCCATCATCATCTTGTTTAATGGGCGTAAGAATCCTTCCAGGTCGCCCCTGGGTTAAGAGCCTCCGACGATCTAATGCTTCTGCCATGCACGCGCCAATGAATGCTCAATGCTCGATTCATGCCGGCTGTTATTACTTTTAAACAAATTGATTAAGGTTTCATTAACGAAAGAAAGAAGCCTGTATCAGGCAAGTGCTGTGTGGCTCCAGTAAAAATCCTGATACCGTCTTTTTTTATTTTCCGGGGAGAGTTTTTTTTTGCTTTTGGGCGTGTGTGCTCGCCAGACAGACAGAGACAGAGAGACAGAAAGCGGTAAATTACCCCCCCAGGGGGATGACCACGCCGCAATCCCTTCTCCTCCGTTCTCCTCTCGGGATCTTGGGCACACACGCACACGCGCCCAGCGTGAGTTTTAAGCCACCGGGTCCGGGGCGCAAACCGCGGTCGACTACGTGGGAGTCCAGCGACATAGCCATTACGCTAACTGCTGGTCCCCTGATACCGTCTTTACCCGGTATAGCAAGACTAAAGTCACAGAAGCAGATGTGAGAGACCTGGGTAAAAAACAAGACCCTGGCATTTGATAGAAAGTGGTCGGATATGGAGGATCTACTGCTGAGTGAAGTAAGCCAGGCTATGAAAGAAAGATACTGTATGTATCCACTCAATATATACCGACTATCCGCACTCTAAGGTAGAGATCAAAATATTGGAGGGCATAAAAGCAGTGAAAATAGTTAATGTGGATAAGACAGTGTGGAAGAAGGAGAAGGGAAGAGTACAGAGAAAGATAGCAAGAGAACAAAAGAGAGGCATGAGTGAGACACAGAAATGGTTTATTACCTGTTGATGATGTGTATAGTTTTCTCAACTGGATTGGTCTGAGAAGTATTTTATATTGGGTAAAGTCTTTTTACAAGCAAAATGATGAATAGGGATTGTTTTAAAAAAATATTGAAATAAGGACCAGCAGTTAGTATAATGGCTATGTTGCTGAATTCCCATGTAGCCGACCGTGGTTCAAGTCCCGGACCTCGTGGCTTAAACTCATGCCAGGCGCATGTGCGTGCATGCCCAAGATCCCAAGAGGAGAATGGAAGAGAAGGGATTGTGACGTGGCCATCCCCCTTGGGGGGTGATTTCTCGCTTTTTGTCTCTCTGTCTCTCCGTCTTTCTGGCGAGAGCATGCGCCCTATAGCAGAAAACTCTCAAAAAAAATTAAAGAAATAATAATAATAATTATTGAGGAAAAAATGAAAAGCTATTGGATGATGAAGATGGGGATTTTAATATCTCTGTATTGACTGATATGCATGGTATTCCTTCTGGTAAAACAAATGTAATACACTGTAAAGTTATATGATTCAATGTGATATAAACAAGATTATGATAATAAATTAATTAATTAAAAAAAAGAGACCCGGGTGGTTATCAGTTGCATTAGTAATTAGGCACGATTTATAAGCAAGCACATCAGTTTGCCAGGCACAGATGTGAGACTCACCAGAGTTAGGTTGCTTGGGTCTGCTCTTCTTAGGGATGGGTCGGTCACTGGCGAACGAGGCGCCTCTGGGCTAGCGGTGGCCCCCTCATACGATGAGGGCAGAGAGACTTCAGGGAGCAGGGACCTTCAAGAAATGTACCTTATGAGCCCTTAGGTATACGGTATAGGAAAAAACATGCTCAGGGGCTGGTAGAGGCACCCACTTGGGACGTATGCCCTGTGACTAAGGAGGGCCTACATGTATAAAATGGGATACTCTGCAAGGGCCACAGGCACCTCGTAGCCATCATGCACCATGCCCACAGCCGAATGCCAACGACTAGCTGGGAGTGTATAGAGCAGGTGAGGCTGGCACTGCCTGCTGCCGGCAAGTGTGGGAGTGTGCGTGTATTTAGGGGAGGTTATTATTCTTATTTTTTGCTAGAGGGGGCATATGCTTGCTACAGCGAGAGAGGGAGAGGAGAAAGCACCCCCATGGGGAACGGTCACACTGCAATCTCTCTCCTCCATCTCTCTTTCTTTTCAGGATTTCAGGAATGCATGCACAGTTGCCCGGCATGTTTTTAAAACCACTAGGTCCCGGGACCAGCAGTTAGCGTAATGGCTATGTCGCTGGACTCCCATGTAGACTACCGCAGGTCGGACCCCAGACCCAGTGGCTTAACA